GAGGGGAGCACAAGAGGTGAGGCTCTTGTCAAAGAACTGGTAGGTGCTTGTGAGCCAAAAAAAACCCATCTGGAGAACATACACTTGAGGGGGAGCAGAGGGAGCCTCCCTGCCTCCAGTTTGCCTCAGGCACTGTGAAACTGCCTTTCATCAACATGTTGTGTCCTCTCATTACAGGTACGGAAACTTCTCAGAGCTCGATGCTGGACAGAGCTAAGTGTGTCTGCCTGTGCGCTTCTCTCACCCGTGATCCTTGACGCTCAGGTCCAAGCTGTGCTCCTGCAAGGAGTCCTGACTGGTGGCAGATGACGATCCCATGGCCTCCGAAGGTTCCTGCTTCACCTGAACTGGATTGAACCGTCCGGGAGCTGCTGGTTGTCCATTCCCTGCTCGAGAAAGACACCGAAATTAAATGCAAAAATTAAATGCAAAATGTAGGTCTAAAATGAGGTTATAATGGCAAATAAGTAAGTTAAATCACTAGCACCAGTGCCTAAATGGAAAAAGCAAAGAAAAAGTGTGGGGGAAGGGAAGTGCGGGGATTGCTGGTCAGCGTTTATTGCCAAGCTGACATGATGGGTTCTGACGTCCACTCTAGCGTGGAAATTCTTCAAGTGATAATTATTGCAAAATTATGTCAAAGTTGTCCAGGCTATGGGCCCTTTAAAGGAGAAGGGCGGAAGGAGCGTGGGGGAGACCTGATTCTCTGCACAAACTGTCATAACTAATTTGCGGGGCTGCCTCTTAAGCGTTTATTAAAGACTCTGTTAATGCTGAGGCAATGTGGCAGCTTTCGACTGCTAGTCAAGCCCCCTTTCTCGTCCCCAATCCCAGCGTTGCCGTAGCGACAGCGATGGCCCGCCACTGCGCGTGCCCAGCAGGAGCATCTGCCCTGCCGGGGCTATCGAAGGTGACAGCCAATGGGATCGGCTCAAACTGCGCGACCTCTTGCCACCGCCATCACGGTGTCCCCACAACAAGGGGGAATTCTTCTCTTTTGGGAGAAGGTTTAGTGCTGAGCCCATGAAAGAAAAATTCAAATTAAAGGAAGAGAAAAAAGAGTAAAGGGGGAAAACGGGAGAACAAATTAAAGAAAAAAAATTAGGAAGAACAGCAAAGAAAAAAGGAGGGAAAAAAAGTTGCTGACAGGAACATGTCTGCAGAGCTTTTTTCCACAATCCCCAAGTGACTAAAATATTAATTTACCCTCCGGCAGTACAGCTGACGGCGAGCTGCTTCTCAGACAGCAAGTGGCATTTTATTAAAAAATAAAGGAAAATAGTTCCCTCAATGACCTTTCTCTGCTTTAGGAAACAATTTTTCAAATAATAATTTTAAAAGTATGTGAAAGTTCCCCTCCCTCTTTAATCAGATCACTTCGTTGTACTCCCTCATTTGCTCCTGGATACAAGGGAACATCAGCAGCACTCCCATACCCAAGGGCTGGCAGCCGGATCCGGTCTTTCCACACCCCGGGGAAGGAGGCTGTGGGGCAGCCCAATGCCATGGGGTCCTGCCAGGCAAAGCCTCCCCTCCACAGCCCCATGTTACCCACCATGAGCTGACCATGGGCAGCAGGAGATTGTGGAGGTACCCTGTGCTCTTGAGGGAGCCCCACATTCCCTGCTGGTGGGGCTGGGCACAGGGAACGACCTGCCCCAGGTCTAGGTGGCAGCAGGAGGAGCTCCAGGCTACCCCAGGGGACTTCTCCTTCCCATCTTTTACCCCTCTCATGGTGCCACTGCCCCTCGCAGCTCAGGGAGCTGCAGGGACAAAGCACGGCTTGCAAGACCTGAGCAGTAGAAAGGTCCAGTTCGTGGACTGTACCAACACTATCTCCAAACCCACAGCTGGGACAACAGAGCTGGAGCACAGAACCAATCCCCCCAGATCAGAAAAACAACTGGCAATGAGCTAAAGGATCAATATCACTAGGCCCAGCTAAAACTCGATACGGTCTGCAGAAGAGGGCCTGGGCTGCTGTATGGCCTGCAAGTATTGGCCAAGCTTTTGCTTCATTTCCATTTCTAATACGGTGCCCCTCTCTTTTCGGCCTACAGCGAACTAGGCAATACACATGGCAACTCTCTTCCTTCAGATCTGGTAAGAGCCTACTCCATTTGTGGGCAAAGCTGCATTTCCCACCTCTCTTCTGGCCTCATGGGTAGAGCCAGGCTCCACAGGAAACCATGCCAAGATTGCCTTCTTCAAGGGTTAACTGGGCAAGACCAAATTTATACTGTCACTTATGTTTTTTTACTACCTCCTCCCACCTCCAGTCCCATGGACAACTGGATGGCTTCTCATTCACTTCTCTCCAAGTCACCAGGCACCAGACACTCTTCCTCCCACCACTAGCACAACTGATGAGGGGAACTCACCTGCTTCAAGTGCCACAGAGGGCTTGAGTGCAGCTGCTGCCAGCCTGGCCATCATAGGAGAGATTAATCCCTTGCTAGCAGAGATCCTTTCCATTATAGATGCCGCTGGAGCTGGAGAAGAAGTAGCTGCTGGTTCACCAGACCCTGAAATGGCCTGGGATGAGGAATCCGTAGGAGCAGAGGATGTTGGATTGGTGCCAGAAGAACCAGCAGTCATCAGATTAGCTGAGCTGGCGGGAAGCGGTGTAGAGACCCGACTGGGGATGATGGGGAAGAAGGATCCAGCTGTTCCAGGAAGTGCTGAGTTGGAGAGTGCCAGGGCCAAGGGTATATTGCTGGGAAGAGCCTGGGAGAGCAGGCCAGAGATCTTGGTGGCTGGTGTCATGCTGTTGGCAGACTTGCTGGCCTGTGAGGAAGCAAGCTCAGCAGCAGAGGAGGGTGCAGCTGGGACTATGAGAGAAACGGAAGACTGTTGACTGGTGGGGGAGGCACTCAGGCTGGAGTTCTTCGAGCTCATAGCAGAGAAGTCAATAAGGTCATCATTACTGGACTCCTCTTGCTCATTATCCTTGGACCCGAGGAGAGAGGCAGGCAGGCCCAGCACTCCTGAGCTCCGGATGTGTCGGCGCTCATGTTTGCGTTTATGGGAGGTCATCTGGCTGGTGGAGGTGAAGGTGAAGCCACAGCCTGCCCTTATGCAGTGGAAGTGATTGGTGGCCTTGCTGTAGACACAGCCCTCATACTTGCATTCCTCATACTTGTAGAACTTCTTGAAGCCATCCTTGGCATAAGCATCATCTTTGATGTGGTAGCTCTTGTGCTTCTCAATGTCACACTTGTTCTTGAAGGTGAATGTACACCCAGGTCGCCTGCAAGGGCATCGAGGAGGAGAAGGTGGTTGGGCTAGGAGCACAATGCAACTGCCGACACCTGTCCGCCTCTGGAATAAGGACTGAGGCCAGTATGAGACAATGGCCCTGGCTGCAGAGGGGTTGAGGAGCTTTGTGTGGGTTAACCTGCGACACCAAGGCAAGGAAAAATGCTGCCATGTGAGAGAGCTGGGAAGCTCACTTTGCTCTGAGGAACAGCCACAATAATATGGTGATGCAGGCACCCACCACTCAAAGTTCCAACCAAAACAGCAGCTAAAGGGGACTAAGGCACTAAGGTACAAACTGTGCTTTCCTACTCTTCCTGAGAACATGAGAAATCATTAGAAGAGCATTTGTGCACAGAAGGCAGAGTCCGGCTCTGAAAGGGACGAGCCGGCTGACTGTTGGCTAGCATGGAAGTGCCACTCAGTTGAACTCCGAAGAGCACTGAAATCTCTTTCCCAAACGATTCTAGGATGTATTTTCTAGTGGGTCCCCCTTCCTCAGACCACCTCAGATCACACTCCTGCCTTCAGAGTGGTCTATGGCGAGATCCTGGAAATCACATCTGCCCTGGAGCACAAGTTCTCTCAAGAGCCATACTGAGGTCACAGCAGGGAAATCAAGTCCCTGTGTGTACTCCTGAATTTATGACTTGGCAGAAAGAGGCAAACAGACCACACAGCTCTGAGGCAGGATTCCTCCCCTTCCCTGCTGTCTCACCTGCAGTGAAAGTGAGTGGTTTTCTGCCCGTAGAACTGGCATTCCACAGTACCACAGTCCTCCGTGGCACGGAACCGCTGAAACCCGTCATTGATGAGCTGCGTGTTCTTCTTGTGAAAGTTCTCATGGGTCATCACGTCAGAGGTGCTTGTATAGACCTTGTTACAACCCACCTACCCCGGGCCAAAACAGGGAGTCATCAGCACAACGTTTTAACAGCCAACATTATTACCAGCAATAATAAACACATGAGCAGCACACACACATTTAACAGTTCCATTTGTGCACTTCTCCTAGGAGTATTAATCATCACTTTAATTCCCAATCTAAAGACTGATAGAGCAGTTGTGAAAAAAAAAAACAAACCCAAAACAAACAACCCAACACTCTGGGCATGAAACAGTAAGAAAAAAAGGGGAGGATGCAAAGGGATGAAAGACTAGTTACAGATAATCATGCCTGCTTAGGGAGGCAGTAAGCAGGGTTCCTGCTCTTAAGGAGAAAAGAACACTGACAGATGCCATTACTTTTTGTTATCTTGGAGCGACACAGAATGAAGTAGGACTTTCATCTATTTGGGGAATACAAAATTGAGTGGGAATGAGTTATTTACCTCTTTAGTCCTTCTGGGAGGTAAGGCAGGGTGGTGCAACATGAGGCCAAGCTTTTGAGCTTGTAATATACAGGTTTCATTCTAGCAAAGCACAAACCCTATGTTCAGCTGATCTTAGCAAACTGGTGACTTTTTTTTTCCCTGTCACTGTTCAAGACTACCACTTCAATAATTTTAAACTTGTGCAGCAAATGGGAATGGTGTGACGAGGACGGAATGCTGAAAACCTGCCTTCCTCTGGGTAAAGCGGGCAACTTTGCCATATTGAGTAAAAAAACACTGGAATCTGAAAACGTCCTCAGCCCTGCTGAGGCAGGACTTTTTTTTTTTCTTTTCTTCTCTAGCACAACGTGTGCCAATGCCTGCACCATCTCAGAAGTGAAGAGAACGAAAACACCACCTCTTAGTTCAGCCCAGGTTGATTCAAACAGGCAATAACAAAACCCATGACAAATACCCAGAAAAAAAAATAAAAAGGATCTCCAGCTATTTCCAATATAAAAGAGCCTCTCTCTCTCTGCACTGACACCTTGAAAAAAGACAGACCCTGCACGGCATTAAAAAAAAGAATTAAACAAAAACCTCCTTAGGAATAATTTGCAATGCAGCTCTTGGTGCTAAAGCCTAAAAAAATGTCAGTTTATATAAACAACTAACTGAATTTTATCCACACCAATTATGGACATGAAGAAAAAAACCCCATGAGATGGATGGCACAAATTCTGCCATTTAAGCAGTATTTTCTTTAATTGGGAGTTTATATTCAGACACCTTTCCTGTAAGGCACTGCTTACATGGGCATTATTTTACTGGAAGACAGCGGGCACAGGATGGAATTACCCATATATAGTTGTGTAAACGAGGGTCTCTATTCGAACTTGGAGTGACTTAAAGCTGTGAAACACTCCTTGTACTCTAAAAAAAAATTAAACAAATCCCATCCTGGTCAATTAAAGAAACTAAACCATCAATATTATGGAAGCATAATAGAAAATGTCCTCAAGAGCAAGTCACATGAAGTTCCCAATTTATCAAATGTTGTAAGCACATGCTTAAACCAGCCCTATTCAGGACAGTACTTGAGTGCATGCCTAACATTTAAGTATGTGCTTAAGCCCCATTGACTTCAGAAAGCTTACCTGACTTTAAGTTAAACATATGCTGAAGTCTATCCCAGCAAAGCATTTAAGCACGTGATTAAGGCCTTGTGACTTTAACTGGGGTCTTAAACGTTTGGGATAGGGCAGGAAGTGAGACCTGAGTTTTCAGAACAGAAAATATTTCACCAAGGGTTGCCCCATTATTCTGTTTGTAACCACAGCACATTCTCATGGCAATGGTCTAGGCCACAATTCTAATGAAACAAATACATATCAATTCCTCTAATCTGAAGAGCAATCAAGGTAAGACCCAAACAATCTGGTGTGTCCATGTCTAAAAACAATGAAGGCATCACAGTTACATCTGTGCAGCAGCTCCAACTCTGGTTACGCTGCTGTTGAAGCCAGGCTGGTTCTTGAAACCAAGCTCCCAGCCTACACCACAGACAAGTACTGGTGAAGGAGATGGAGAACCAGGGGTGTTAAGTCTAGATATGTGACATTAAAGTTTAATTTATTTAGAAATTTATTATGGAGGAAATTAACCCAGTCTTAAAGGGCAGATGTGTCCCAGAAAAGTCTGATTTCAAGGGAGTGACAGATCAGATTTGGATAGAGGCAGTGCAGTGGTATTGCAGAGAGGTCCCTGAATCTCAGAAAAAGGAACCTGTTTGAAGAAGTGAAGTCCGAGAGCGTGAGAAAACCTTGAGACCTGCTTTGCCTCACCGCATGCACAAGGCTTCTAAAAACAGAGAATGGTGCTTCCCTTCGCCCTTCCCAACACTTGGCAGGGCAAATGCAGTGAGGACAGGGCACAGACTCTTCAAAGAGGTGCCCGAATCAGAAGTGAGCATGAGAGGCTACGAATGTCACCCCTTTGTCTCAGGACAGCCCTTTGCTCTCTAACAAGGAAGGGTTGGGTTGCCTGAACTCAAGAACCCTTTCAGTCCACCCCAAAAAGGACACAGCTCAAACAACGGCCCTTCGTGTGCCTCATGTGCGACCACCTACTCCCCAGTTGGGCTGTTACCTGCATGCAGTGGTAGTGTGTGCTTTTCCCGTTCAGGTGGCAGCCATGATAATACACGCTACAGTCATCCAAGGGGCTGAAGCGCATGAAGCCGTGCTGGAGGGAATTATCACGTTTCTTGTGCATGTTGTAATGCCGAATCACATCCTGTTTACTAGTGAATCTCTGGAGAGATACAGAGACAGACAGTGAGACACGCATGATGGGCGAGTAATCCTGGGGGCAGGGTGGGTTGTTTTGTTGTTGTTAATAATCTTATGGTACCACGAGTTTAAAGCTCAGCTGTAATCACCCCAAGAGAGTCAGACTGAAGAGGAACTGTGTGCACGTATCTTCTTGGTAAAGGGAAAGTATATACACATGAAAAGTTGTAGCATAGACATGACACTGGGGGGATGTCCAGAATATGCTCCCTGCAGCTTTAAGACTGCAAGTCTTCTAACGTAATTTTAGCTGCTACTATCTCAAGAACTGCTATAGTTAGAAAGCAAACCAGTGAACTGAACAGCCTACAAGAGAGTAATCCAAGCTTCCAAATCACTCACTGTAGTGGTTAGCAAGACACTGGCTGCCACATTCATGTCAGACTAGAAACTGGGAAAAACATTCTGTGTTTTTATAGTATCTTCCCACTGTAAGTCTTCTGCCTCCCCTACAAGGTAGGATGGCTTTATTAGAAAGACAGGGAGACAGAACTTTCTTCCAGTCACAGAAAAAGATGGTACTAGAGCTCAGAGCTAAATCTGTATGACCAGAATATCCTTTTCATCCTCTACCTGCCTGAAGTAATGAAGGGGTACCCCACTGTCAGAACACGCTAAGTGCCTTTAAAATGAAGCTTTTCATTTCTATTTCCCACAGACATCAATATTTAACAGTGAAGGTGGGAAAGTAAATCTGGGGTTTTTTAAAAAGAAATCAATATCCATTTATTTTGAGGAGTAATTGAAAAGGCCTGTATTCTAATGTTTAACAACTTTTCTAGTCTCTCTCACAGGAAACAAATGATTATCTCTTAATTCCTCCTATAATATCAATCCTGATCAATCTCGTTGGTATCGGCAGGGGAATATATGGATATAGATTTCAACAGGAATCCCTTGGAGGCTGGAGGTATGATTTCCCAGGGCGTACATACAGGATTGCTATTGCCAATCATCGTTAATTTGTGCCCACTTATTACAGAGCGTTACTTATTCTAAAATATATCTCAGCCATAAAATAATTTGCATTTTAAAAAGCAGCCTAAATCCTTATTCCCTGCGAGACCAGACAGCTCCTTTGCAAGCAGCTTCCAGACTCCTTAGGAAATAATCATGAGGCCAATCATAATAATAGTTTTTCTGTCTTTCCATCCTTTGTGTTTCTCCCTTTCTGGTGCAGAGATATCCATGTCACAGTCGGGACAGACCCATCTCAATTACCAAATGCTGGGCTAGGAGGACCACTACACGCATCCCAGAGACAAACTCTCCTTTGATCAACAGAAACCCACAGTCAAGCTCAGCAGATCTAGATCAACTTCCTAATGCTGTGGTCAGACCCATTCCTTTGAGACCCAAAGGTCTCCTGGGGTAGGGCTGAAGTTGTGCCTGATGCACAGTCGAGGCGAACTCTGGGATTCCCACTGACACACAGGCAGCCTGACCACAGAAATGGCAGTGTCAAACGCACAGACCTGGGAAGAGGGTAAACAAACACAGCACGTGACTCGGCTGGCTTGACGTCGCTACCTTGGCAATTCTCCCAGCAATTACAGCATCCCACATGCTCCTGCCCCCACGCTTTCCCCACAAATCCCGGACTGCTGCTGGTCTTATTGGGTGTTTTGTTGCAGATACTGCTGCTACAATGTCACTCGGCAGCAGGAGGGA